TGGTTGCTCTTTCCTTGATTAAGACAAAAATCATGTACACATTAATCACTACCACCCCAGAGAAGGAGTTGCTTTTGAATAGAGATGCATAAGACATGGTATTTCACATCCAAACACATGAAAGACTGACTTCTCATAGACTTAAATGGTGAATAAAATGTGTAGCTTCCTTACTGTCAATAGACAAACAGGAACTGCTTCACTTTCGTGGGTTTCTTGCCCCCAAACTGGAATCTTTCAACATTGGACATACTTTTAAAAAATTGCAGTTTTGCTACTGCCTTTTCTATTTTTCCTGTTTTTGTGAAGGATGTCAAATTTTTATTTATGTAAAAGCTCCAGGGATTGGATAGACAAAACTAGTATATGGTTATTTAAAGAATGTGTATTTTTTAAAAAAAATAGTCTAGCGTTCTTTCAAAAAAGCACCAAACCCATGAGTAGGAAGAACCATATATGGGCAGATGCCTCCACAGACACCAGTTGTTTAGTCTTTCCAGCAATCCAGGCCAAAATGACTCTGAAATCCCCAAAGACTGGTGGGGAAAAGGTCCATAACTTCTAAGGTGGCCAGTAGGACTTGGGCAGATCTCAAATCTTGACTGCGTGATCAATTGTATAGATTAGAAGGCATTGTAGATCACACCAAGGGTAAAAATTGAGAAGAGGGAAAACATTACTTTAAAATTAGAACAGCAAAGAATATTTCAAATGGCCTCTGCTATGGGATATTGCTTCAATGCAACTTGCAGCATGCTAGTTGCAATCTCTAGGGGCTATATAGTTCAGCAGCAAAATCCTGAGGAGCACAACTTGCTCCCTGATTTGAAGAATTCTTATTTGTATATCAAGAGAAAGACCACAGGCCCTGTACTCCAGAAAGATGCTCTCACAGGCAAAGAACAGGATTAGGTAGAATAATAGGTCGGACAAGGTTTGAAATGCCCATACTGGTTTAGAAATCTCAATGGCCACCTTACCATTTGTATAGAGAAGCATAATCAGTTTCAGCAGATAATTTTGATTTTCATGAAATAACAAGTAAAAGGTTTCTTACATGATTTATTCTCATGAGTTTTTATCAAAAACAAAAGATAAGAAGTGCTTTCTGAGTGCCAAAATACTTGATCAGCGCTTCTTATTGGTCCAACCAAGATGTCTTGAGTCAATCTTGGCAATGTGATTCTTGATTTTGTTTTGACAAACATGAAAAGCAACCTCTTTTTTCTTCAGTCTGGTCCCCAGGACATAAAACATGTTCATTTCATTTAACTGTGCTTAATCCAAGATTAAGCATTTTACTTTGACTTGAAAATAACAAGTTTCAAAAAGAAAAAATCATAAACAATGTGAAGTTCCTTAAGCTTATTTAGGAGACTTCCCAATTGTGCTAATTTATTTTTAAAAGTAATAACTTTGTATTAAGAATGTTGGTTATAATGTTAAAATCTATCATGATAATCTTAAAGAAAAAAGAAGAAGAAAAATGCAAGGGAAAAAGGGAAAAGAAGAAAAAGTAAAAATATAAGAAAAAAGAAATATATAGAGAAGTGACTTCCAGTCTTTATCACAACAATTCCTAATGGCTCTTTAGCTTCAGTATTCCAATACAGAATACAGGTAGTCCTCAACTTATAATAGTTCATTTAGTGACCATTTAAAGTTACAACGGCACTGGGAAAAGTGACTTATCACCATTTTTCAGAACCTTAGCAGCATCTCCATGATCATGTGATCAAAATTCAGATGGTTGGCAACTGGTTCATATTTATGACCGTCGCTGTGATCATGTGATCACCTTTTGCACCCCTCTGACAAGCCAGATTCATTTAACAAGCAGGTTACTAACTGATCAACTGCAGTGATTGACTTAACAAGAAAAGTGGCAAGAAAGGTCATAAAGAGGGGCAAAACTCACTTAACAAATGTCTCACTTAACAACAGAAATGTTGGGCTCAATTGTGATCATAAATCGAGGACTATCTATACCACTGTAATATTTCCTTTCCATGTTTTCTCAAAGCCAGGTTTACTTCCATTTCTTGCACAGTCTCATTCTCCTGGATGATTCAGGTTTCTCTACAATCCATTATATTCACCAAGAATCCTGCTGGAAAAGCTAACTCTAGTCAACATCTTCTTTCCCACAGGAGCCCACCAGAGAAGGTTATAGAATTCTTCTGATAGTCTTCTCAGCGTCCAGAAGCTAGGTTCCTCTAATTCTCGAAGCACTTTGTAGTCCATCGTATTTAGTAGCCATTGATAGTTTCATTCAGAGAAGTTCATTACAAATTAATTTATCAATGGCTACTAAATAAGTCTGATATTAGATGTTCATCAAGTATATCATTCATATTTTAACAACTTCAAAACCAGTGAACTTAACCTGCAATGTTATAGGAAGATTTTATTTGTGTAATTGTTTCCTTTATGTAATATGTGTCTTAATTTCCCAGTTCTTATATAAACATGAGAAGACGCCATATGCATGTACTTCTAAAAGTAACATCTACTATGGTCAGTGGTGCTTGAACCAATATATACAGAGCGATTTCTCATTTTCTTTGTTAAGTGTTTTCTATTTAACAGTTTTATGTGAAAAGGTGGAAATAAATTAAAATGGTTGCAATGTTATCTCAAAATGAAACTTCCAAACTATCTAATATTGTGGGTTCATCAGAGATATTTTCTGAATACAATCAGATATACAGTATAGAAAAACTAATCTTATGGAAATTGAAATATTATTTTAGAAAGCATTTTGAATCATGTTCGGTGATCGGAAGGAAAGAAGGGATTTATTCATTCCCTTCTGTTCAAACTTTGGCTTCAAACAGAATTTTTTTAAAAAAACAGTGGTACTGTTAAAAAGAACATGTTTTGAACTTTATATCTATTAAAATAAACAGTAATATTACAGATTGTGTCATACACATTTCTACGTGAGAAAGTATCAGTATAATTTATATAATTTATGTTTGAACAAATAGGTACATACGCTACACTACATGCTGTCTTCTACAATTATCTTGGAGGACACCCACACATTATTTGTCAATCTCAAATAATATCTTATGTAGTATATCTGAGGAAATGGCCCTTAGCTTACCAAAGCTTGTTGCAACAGACTGATATAATTACCCCTGTGAAAAACAATGGATTAGCTTCAGGTGAAAACAGCTTTTCCAAAATCATGGTATTAATTCACAATACCAATTGAACGGGATATAGGTAGTTCAGGGTTGAATTGTAGAGTCCTTGGTGTTGTCTGAGCTTGGTTGTTTGCTTGCAGACATTTCCTTGCAAAACATCTACAAGCAAAAACCAGGCTCTCCATCATTATCTCATAGTAGATATAAGAAATGTGTTGTGCAAGGTCTTTCCACTGAAGATTAAAGACTATCTACTATGCTGCTCCAGTTTGTTCCAATCTAAGGATGAGAGAAAATGGTAGGCACAAAATTACCCACCTGACAGAGGAATAGAAACCGGATCTAATCCCTTATCCCAGGGGTTGGCAACCTTAAACACTCAAAGAGCCACAAAGGTCCTAACTGGAAGCCCCCGTTCAATTCTGGAGCCGACCAGAAGTCCGGTTCCCCCATCCTAGTCTCCCCCTAGCGCGGTATCCTTTTTCCTCTGCTGACTGGAAGTCCGGTTCCCCCACCATAGTTTCCTCCTAGCGCGGCATCCTTTTTCCTCTACCTGTCCTAACCGAAAGCCCTATCAATTGTGGAGCCGACCAGCAACAGGGAGCCGCAGCAGAGGGATGAAAGAGCCACATGTGGCTCCAGAGCTGCGGGTTACTGACCCCTGCCTTATCCAGTACATCACTCATAAGGTGTTAACTCAAGATTGTTAAAATTGGCAACAAATCATTTGTGTGTCTATCAATATTCCCAGATGAAGATAAATGAAATCCATGATGCATTGACTATAGTGTATATAATTGCAATGTGTATATAATTGATTACATTGCATTGATATTATATTAGGTCACAATTTATGGTTGTCCAGAGTAATTGTTATCATTCATATGCAACACACAAATGCAATCCTACACTGATACTTTATTTTTGAGAATTTGGGGAGGAAGCTTCTTTAAAATTCAGTAGCAGATATCCCTGAGAAATCATGCATACAATTATTATTATTTTATTATTTATTAAATTTATAATGAGCAGAGGGGGAAGATTTGAAAGCACATTTATTTGAAAAAAAATTATTTTCAAATGTATTTAGCAGAATAGTGTTAAAGAACTTGCACTTCAGCCACAAAACTTGTTTGACTGGTATATAGAGATAAATGGGGGGGAGAGAGAATATAGAGAATGCATGTATGTGTGTATATATGTGGGTGAATACACTCTGTCAATTACTTTAACTGAGGTACCATCAACATTTTGAAATTGTAAATCATCAAATTGCAGGTAGCAATCTTTGGTTGGGTAAAATACTCCAGCGCACTTTAATATCATAATATCCTGAATTTAATTAGACACAGCAGACTTAAATATGGCATGATCCTATCAACTTTTTTCAGTATGATTATTTATGAGAGTCACTGATCAATGAAAGAGGGAAATCTTGGGTTACATCTTTTCCATGTAAACAATTAGAATTTACAAAGGTTTCACTTTGTTCTGACACGCTCCTTACTTTGAAATATTCCATAAAATTCAGTTTTGAAATACTGGGCACAAGCCAGTCAATATTTTAGTCCCATTGAAAATCAGCAAAAGACAGAAACAGGTTTGTTAATAATGAGACAATCCAATTATTAGTTTAATTTTTATTTTTAAAAAGTCAAACTATTCAACTTTCCATGTTGTCCCAATATAAATTTGGAAAAGCAACAGAAGTGAACATGGAACTCCAAAGTTTCAGATCATGTCTACATGTGCTTACTATTATATAATTTCACCTCTGCAGATTCAGAAATGTTTTTGATCTGATAACGTTTTGCAACTTCTTCCCAGGACAAAGTGATGATGCAGTAATTCTGAGTTCAAACAGTTTTTATTTACACCCTAGCAATGTAATAAAAAAGAGCCCTCCAGATAACCCAGACAAATTTGTGGCTTTCATAATCATTTTAGTGTATATATGAAATAGCCACATTAGCACAGCAAAGGCTACTCTTTTTTGGAACATCCCAACTACTGGAAATTCAGTAGTTGACATTATTCTTCCATTGAAGATTTTAACATTCAGCTGGGAATATTATGCGTTTTACAACTTCATTCTTTGTTTCACTTCTTTCAACCCAGTCTTCGTGGTATATCAGAATGGTAAACAAACTCCTGACCACTGCAATAATAAAAGGCAGGAAATACATACATTAGCCAAATTTAAAATAAACCAGCCAACCACTCCTGAGCCAAAACAGAGAGGTTTTATGGGGGTACCAAAAATGCCAATCACAGAGATCGGAACAACCATTTATCTGAAACAGTATAGGGTTTGCAATAGTGGTGAATATAGGATATAGGGCTTCCTGGCTGAGCAAGGGTTGGACTAGAAGACCTCCAAGGTCCCTTCCAACTATATTATTCTGTTAAAATCTCCCTGGGGAAGGTATTGCTGACCACCTCAAAAATGACTCTTCTTTCTTAAGTCTGAACGATTTAAAAAGAGTCGCCCTGAAGTTTTCAGCGGCAGGCTGGCACCATTCCTCAGATCTAAGTCACCAGACTCTCTACAAGTATACACACATCACTGTATTGCAAATACAGTGGTTATTGGATTTTATTTTATTTATTTTAGCTCAAAACAGCACCCCGATTTCTTCCCGGTGTTTACTCTCCGCGAAACAGTCTAGTTTCGAGGCTCGATGCCCCTTCGCGGGACGCGAATTTGGGAATTTATTTTTTTTTAACCTCCCCAAGCTAAGCGTCCCTCACTGTAATAATCAACCAACGGAACAGCTTGCCTTCAGAAGTTGTGGGAGCTTCATCACTGGAAGCTTTCAAAGAAGAGGCTGGACTGCCACCTGTCAGAAATGGTGCAGGGTCTCCTGCTTGGGCGGAGGAGGGGGGTGGACTAGATGACCTACAAGGTCCCTTTTCCAACTCTTGTTAATCTGTTCTATTCTAATCAGCAGCAAGGAACAGGAAGGCCTGCCGCGCCGAGTCCCGAGGTCGATTATTCCCGAGGAAGGCGACCAGGGAGACAGCAGGTCAGGCACCGCCACCTGTAAAAAGGCACCTCGCCCTTCGCACCTGAGACGAGACTCCCGCTCCGCAAAAGAGGAAGGAGTGGAAGGGGTGGGAGGAGCTAACCCGTGGCGGCGGTTTCATTGGACGGAACCCTCAGGGAGGAGGCGGGGCTTGGGCAGAAGAAGCACCAATTGCTTGCCAGCTAGAGTTGGCTGGCTGGCTGGCTGCGCGATCGGTGCCCACCTTGGCCGACCCACCCAGTAGCCTCTCGGGGGAGGGAGAGAGGGAGGGAGGGAGGTGTGGTGGAAGCTCCTCCTCCCCCCTCTGGCCCAGCGTTCGAATGGGCTGGCCCGACAAGTCCCGGAGAGAGATAATGACAATATATACCACTAATGACAGCGGCGGCAGCTCGAGTGTTGCGCCCGCCAGCAGACGGCTCGCCCGCGTGGGGCTGAGAAAAAGAGATTTTTTTCTCCGTGTTTACGCGATCGGGGGAGAGAAACGGACTACCGATTTTATCGCGCGGTCGTTGCTGTGGGCTTTTCATCCCAATCGGGAAGGATCTGTGCAAACAACAACAACAACCCAACAACTCAAGACTCGCTTGGCGGAGGGAAACCACTTGTAGCCGCTTCCAACTTCTCAGCCACCTGTTGTTGCTCTCTACTTCAACCGCCTGAAAGCAGCCGAGCCAGGAAGGGGGAGAGAGAGAAGGACGGCAAAGCATCCCTGCCCTGGGTCAGACGCCTCCATAGGGGGGAAAGAAGGGTTCGTATCTGGAAACCCTGCCCCGACGGTGGAAGAAGAAGCCGGCGCCCAGAAATAAAAGTTCACCCGAACTGCCAGGAGTTGAGCCATGCGCGCTGATTTTGCTTTCTAAGAAAGCGACCCCTCACCTGGCTAATGGGAAAACAGCACCGCACCTGAGACGGGTTTGGAAAAAAAAAAATCTTACACCCCTCTCGCCCGAAATATATATATATATATATACACGGACAGCAACTTTTCTCCAAACTTTGGCCTTGGCTGGAATGAGCTGAGTTCGGATTCCTTTCGGGAGAGTTTGCAGAGGGAGGAAAAAGAAAGACCACCTGCTCAGCGTTTTGGAGCCACCACGCCCTACCTTTCCAGGGATCCCAAAGCGGAGGCGATCTGATCCTCTATTCTTCTCCCCACCCCGCCCGCTCACTTCCATTCCGAGACTTTTGACCAGGTATATAGACATGCACCCCAACTGTTGATCTCGTCTCCCGGGGAATCGAAGCCCTAAAGTCGGCAGAACCACCAAGAGGGCTCCCCTCGAAGGAAGGAGGCAGGCAGGCACAACCTGGGAATTGGGGGGCGGCTGGCCGGCAGAGGATCACCGAGCTGGGGGGCGCAACCATGAAGCTGGAGATCTTTGCTCCCCGATACGAGGACAAGCTCAGCGGCCACAGCGGCAGCGACCAGGAAGGCGGAGGCGAAGCTTCCCCGCGGATAGCCGAGAGCGAGCTGGGCTCCGACGGGGATTGCGCGGCTCTCAGTCCGGCCAGTGGTTGCGGGGCTTCTCCCCGGCAGGGCACCGAGCCTTCGCCTTCCCCGGGAGGCGAGTGTAAAGCGGCGTCGGGGCTGTCCGGAAAGCCTTACACGCGCCGTCCGAAGCCTCCCTACTCTTACATCGCTTTGATCGCCATGGCCATCCGGGATTCGGCCGGGGGCCGCTTGACCCTGGCGGAGATCAATGAGTACCTGATGGGCCGCTTCCCTTTCTTTCGCGGCGCCTATACGGGCTGGCGCAACTCGGTGCGTCACAACCTGTCGCTCAACGACTGTTTCGTCAAAGTGCTGCGAGACCCGGCTCGGCCGTGGGGCAAGGACAACTACTGGATGCTCAACCCCAACTCCGAGTACACTTTCGCCGACGGCGTCTTCCGCAGGAGGAGGAAGCGGCTCAGCCGGCCGGGGCTCACTTCGGCCCCCGGGGGCTCCCCTTCGGCTCAGCCGTCCCCCGCGCCCGCTTCTTCCCCGAGTGCCGATCGGAAGACCCCCACGGGGGAATCGGGCGTGGGAGCCGTCGGGGCCGCCGCCGTGAAATTCTCCAGCCCCTTCGCCATCGAGAGCATCCTGAGCCGACCGTTCCAGCCTTCCGAACAGCAGCCGCGGCCCCCCGCGAGGCCGGTGGGAGAACGGGCGGTGGCGTGGGCCGCCCCCGCGAGCTATTCCCGGCTCCTCGCTCATCCGTCCGTCTCTTACGGCGTCGTCCCTGCTTTCCCACTGGCGGCGGCTTCGGCCGTTTACCATTACGGCCTCCCCGATCCTCTGCTGCTAGAGTCCTCCAAGGGGAAGGCTTTGAGCGCCCGCGATCCGCACCAGCCCTTCCACGCGAGACCCTCGTCGTCCTTCTCCTCTCCCCGGCTTTCTTCGGCGCAGCTGCAAACGCTGAGCGTTTCTCAGCTCTACTGCCCCCTCCGGCTGCCCAGCTCATTGCAGCAGGTGGCGGCCACTCATCACAACACCTACAGGCCTTATCATACATCAGAGACGCTATCGGTGTGACGATCGAACGGTCTAAAGAACCCCCGTGAAAGGCTGGGGTAACGTGGGGACAGACGGGAAGTGTCTCTCGATGCACTTTTTTTTTTTTTTAAAGGAAATAAAACCCAGACTCAGTAGAAAGACTGTGCCTTAAAAACGCCGTTTTTTCTCCTCCAGTCCAAAACCAAAAAAGCTGTTCAGATACATATATATTTTAAAGGTTGGACTCTTAAGATGGACAGCAGAGCTGAAAGGAAACCGTTTCCTGCCTATGATTGGTTGGTTGATGTTTGGTGGGGGCATCCATCAGGCTGCAGGTGCCCTGCTTCTTAAAGTGAATCTGGAGAGGTGCATCGGAGGCTGGGAAGCTTTTCTCCGTGGTTGTAAATAAAGCATATACTGATCCTGAAGTAAGTCCGATCGAATTAATTTGGGCTGTTCATAGCATTGAAGCCAACCTAAATAAGGATGCTAACATTTATTAAGGGTGATCCTGAATCCTGAACGACAGGGATGGATGCTATCAAAGGTGAAGATATTTTGGCCAGTGAAAAACTGAAACTGCAAAAGCCTCGACTGCATTAAGTCAGGTATAAACTACCTGACTTAATTCCCATGGGTCATGTCTGGGGCACATGGGATTTAAAATCCAAATATCTGGAACGTGCCAGGTTTCCAGTCTTGGGTAACTTGAATCAAAGCTGAGTCCTATGCACCCTTTAGCTTGGAGCAAACCTCAGGGAACGGAAATCTTACCCTAAACTCCCAGAGCAGCTTTAGACCAGGATTAGCACCTGGATATGCATTGCTTAGTAATTGTCTGTAAGCATGTTTCAGCTCCTTAAGTGGTGGCCTGGGGAGAGGAGAGCCTAATGGCAGTGCAGCTGGGAGAAAGTGAGACCGCTTTGAAAAAGTGAGGTCACTTTGAAACATGCCTATGCAGTGGAAGCAAGGCCAATCAACTTGAGCAGCCCTGATATTTTGGCCATTGGGAGATCATCAAAGGTCATGCCAGGCAGTATCTTTCCAGCAATGAAACTCCTGTCATGCTGGACTGAGGTGCTAGCTTGCAGAAAAACAAGTGTTAGAGGAGGGAGCAGTATGGCACATACACACACAGCCAAGGAATTGAGTTGGCCACCTTGGTGCCAACAGGTGTAATGAGCCCTGGCCAGACTTCAGCCTAAAAAGGGTGGGGGGGGGAGTAACCATGGTTGCAGTCTTTTTGAGGATTGGCATGTAATCTACAGCAGCCAGTCCCAGTGCAGACTGCCTAGGGTTGCCACTAGATGGCAGCCAAGTAGATGCAGAACATTCTATGTCTTTGCTGCCATCTATTAGACTTCCAGAGTTCTGCATAGCGTTAATACAAATGCAACTAACTGGGATAGCTTTCCCTTCCCTGTTCAAGAACCCCAGGTACCAGCAAGTTCCTTTCTCTTGAATATAAGCACTAGCTCTTTAAATGTGACTAATGTGGGGGCAGGAGGGGAGAGAATATTTGCCTTGGAGCCCAGACAGCTGGAAAGGAGTGATTTTATGGATGTCAGTCTACTGAATTTCATCATATGTATTCTGGAGTAAACTCTGCTCTAGTACTGCAATCTCAAGCTGATTTATAGCAAGCTCTAGGCAGAGGAGTAACTGGATAAGAATCATGACTTTAGACACTGAATTAATGGAATCAGGGTTTTGTTTAAGAATGCTTTGTTGGCATATCACTTTTGGACTGAACAGGAAAAATGCCAAGTTTTCAAAAACACTGAACGTTGGGTTCTTGTTGCACATACCTCTCCCTACGAATGGTAGGGATTAAGTTATTTATAACCTGCAAAATTCTGATGTTTAAACAAATGCAGGCTATCTTTTTCTCATTTTTTAAAATTTGAATGCAAATATAGATATATTTTTAAAAAATATGATTCCCCACCCCATTGATGTGAGCTTGTTTGCTAAACCTAGTTCATTGGCCTTTCCCTTCACTCCTACCCATGAAACTGATGCTTTGTTGGTTATATCCTGATAACCAACTGGGGTTATCAGATGGGGTCCAAAGCAAAAGAGGGAAGGCCCAAGTAGGAACAATCAAATGTGTTGCCCTGAAAAGGGAGGATACTTTCAGAAACTGCCTGTCGCAAACTCTGTGTGTATGTCCGCATGGGTTCATGAAAATCTTGATCAAGATAATTTTCTAATAAAAGATGATTTTTTAAAAAAACTCTTGAATTTGGAATTGCCTGTGTTTATTCCAAGGGACCCTGTTTTCAAAGAAGGCAGGACTGAAGAAATGAAGCTGGGGAAGAGACAGAATGAAGAGGGCAAAAATGATTCTGCACCTGTATATAAATGACATCCATACAAGATTTGGGAGGAGGCTCCTTGAAACTAACCAGGAACACTGTCTAAAGAAAATTGGCTGTTACTCTTCCATTTCTTTCACTTGGAAATAAGTGGAACAATATAGTTTAATAGAACTCACCAAGCCAGTTAGCATAGGGCTGAAGTACAATGCCTATGATAGCACAAACCCCATTGGAATCACTAGGTTCCCAATCCTGTGATCTCTGATTTGGGAATATTCAGTGAAAGTGCCTTCTAAATAGATTGCTCTATGAGTACGTTTTGTCTATAAGTTAACATTTTTTTATAAAAATCAAGGGGGGGGAGAGAGACCTGAATCATGAGAATAAAAAAAAAAAGATTTCCTCTCCCCTTCTCCAAGTTTGGTCTTGTACTATTAAGAATACAACCCTTAGTACTACTACAGGCATGGAAAAGTCTATATTCCTCTTTGGATTGCTGAATTACAACTTCCACCCAGCATCCTTCACCACTGGCTGTGCTACCTGGGACAGCAGAGAGTTTTAAATTCTGTATTCTTATCTAGTAAAGTTCCTCACCCTGATTGTAGAGAAGCCCCAAAAGGAACAAAAGAACAGATCTTATCTTAATCTTCTACAGATGCCAAAATCAAATTGTGGGGTGGTTAGAGCAATGACAAGGCCCCATTAATTTAAAAAAATAATGGGTTGGAAAAGGTTTAAGAATCATACCGGTTGTGTTTCTGCTTCCCAGTAATAATGGAAAGCAGAAGGGATGGAAGGCAGCACTTTGCTGCACACTTGGGATTCTCTCCCTTTTAATCAATGCTAATTAATCTGCAGCTTTGATTGGGAAATGTTTTTGTTAAAGGCAAAAGGCCACCACATTTTCTCTGGCACATTGTTAATTTGCACTATGCTTTGAACTACCATTCCCACAACCCATTGCTATGAGATTGCTGGCTGAGGGCTGATGTGAGTTGGAAGTCCAACACATCTGGAGGGCAGCAGGTAGCTTCCCAGCCAATCTGTCCCCTTCGTCTAGTGCCTTGCAAGTCTCACAGAGCAGGTGGGAGGGGGGCTGGGCTGTTGGTCTTGGCACTTCCAAACATTTTTTCTGAATAGGAAATTTGCAATCTGAACTTTTTCAGCAACTGCCCTCATTCAACACCAGCAATCAGAACCTCGAAAGAGAAACAGGATGCTCTAAGCTTGCTTAAGGTTTTGAATTAAAAAGTGACACTGCGCTTAATGGGACTGCTGTAGCAGTGGACGAAAGGGAGAGAAAGTGTCTTGCAAGGAACAATCCTGGTTAAAAACTCAATCCTCTCACTACCTCCCAGATTCCTCTGAAAGGTTGTCAGAGGACAGTTTGAACAAATTAAAAGGGGGAAAAAAACTATTTGTCTTTGCAAGAATGCAGTTGAGGCAGCAGGGCAAGTACCTAAAACACGGAATGCTTTTCCTGCTTCATCTAAGTCTAAATTTAGAAAAACCTAACTGACCGATTCTCAGATGGAAGTAAAACCTATTATGGTGCCTAAGGAGAAAGAAGAAATTGGTCACATTCCTTTTTTACTTCCCTGGTATAAATTTCAGTTCTCAATGGAATTATTTTGCAACTGCCTTGAGAAATACTTTTTTAAAAAAGGGATTTGGGCTAGGACCACCCACACACACACAATATACAAGACTGTTAAGCTCAACAGCACGTGCTTTTTAGTGGACTTGAGTTATTGCCTGGACCCATTATTTTATCAGTTCCTCCACTTTGAAATACATTGTTATGAGCTTTGGGGAATCCCTATTTTACAAACGACTTTGTTGATTAAATCTGAGCAGGAATTGATGAAGTTAACTGAAGCTCTGAAAGGGGAGAGCAATGGTGCAAACTCTCCCAATACTCAGAAAGCCTTGTCTACTTTCATTTCCTGATTTCCCAAGCTAAATCTTAGTCTTGAGTTCTTTGGATGAAGCAAGAAGGCACTCCTCAAATTAAGCTCCTTTGAAAATAAGTGGATTTTTAACAAAGATAGCAGTGCAAAGTGTCATCAGACTTGAAAAGTGTCGTCACCAATTTATTTTCTTCTCTTCAGATCTGACCCAATAAACAGCAAGCAACTGAAGTTTAACTGGAAAGCTAGTTAGGAATCTTGCCGGCTTGTTGAATTTATATGCTGCCTTTATCCAGGAGTACATGATGGCTTACATGCATGCTATTCCTGGCCAGGTAAAATAGACTGGGATGAGACTGGGAAATTGTCTTGCTGAGAGGAATTTGAACCTGGGCCTCCCAGTTCAAAACCACTACTTTGCCATCCCGCTGATATAACTCCCATTATTCAAAGCTGAGTTTTATTTCTTTTAACATAAGCATTTGCAAGTAACAATTTTGCTCAGCTAAAAGTCTATGGAGATTCTCAGTCTTCCAGGTCATGGCTGCCCAAAGGTGCTTTTTTAGGAGGCAACTGGACTTTCTGGTTTTTCTTTGAAGAGGTTTCGCTTCTCATCCAAGAATGGATGAGAAGCATGAACGGATTTCCAGAAAAACTGCAGACTACACTACAGGAACCATTTGCACTACTAAGGTGACCCCTGAGGACACAGATAACCCTCCAAGTGCTTCAAGGACCCTCCAAAAGGATGCAAATGACCAGCTGTTTGCAAAGAATATAAATCCTTCCATTCCCCACCATCCAGTCAGGGCTGAAGAAGCTTCTTGGATGAGAAGCGAGACATCTTCAAAGAAAAAAATAAGGAAGTCCAGTTGCCTCCTGAAAAAGTACC